AAAATTATGTGTGCTCGCCGATTTTAATTTATACCGAGAACTTTCCCAATTGAGCCAATTAGTCAATTGCGATAATTAACGCAAGCGAGAAAAGAGAGGGATGTAACTCGGCTGGAATTCATAGCTTCGTTCTCTCTCGCTCGCGCATCGATCTCTATTGTTTTTCTCTTGCTTTTTTAAACAGCAAAACATTATCACAATTTCCAACGAAAAATTATCGCAATTTCTGCAAAGTTAACACAATATTTTATCACAAGTAAATAAATGTGATATTGTTTAATGTTTAATTTTTAAATGTATTTCGAGAAGAATTTGCGCGGAAAATTACACAAGCATTATCATCAAAACTGAACCGATGCAAGGGAGAGGAAAAGCTCTATATATACACAACACAAATTACATATACATTTGATATATTGAAATTTTATTTTCGTCATATTTCATTCAAAAATAAAATTATTCGTAAAAAAAGATTTCGCTCTGTCGGTAGACAATATATAACATATATATGTATATATAATATTATTACATTTTATATATATATAGCAATATATTTACTCTCAATGTATAATGTATACTTACTGTAACTCTACAGCGCGCGCGCGTGTGTGGTTTTTTTTTTTTTTTTTATCTCTTTTTCGGGCGTCGTTTAACCATCGTACAACACCCCGTTACGCGATATTATACTCTAATGGGGGTTTTTTCGCTTACTGACTAAATCACATGTGGTTTTACTTACTTTCATACATTTCGCGCCACCGCTCTTCTCACCCGTTAACGCCCGGAAAAAGACGCATGCCCTTCAAAAACAAAAATGTCGCTCGCAACTCGATCAAACTCGAAAGAAAAAGGCACGCCGTGTGTGTGTGAGTGTGTGTGTATGTGTGTTTGAGTGTGAACGTCGAACGGTTGTTCGATGTTTCGCGAGCCTGCCATTCGCATTCCCGTTCGTGTTGATTTATAACAAAAATTCGCATTTCCGTGAAATCCTGTCGAGATTCTGGGATCGGGAGTACGAGGCGACGATCGCGCTTTTCAATCGCGCGTCATCGCGATAAATACAAAGAGCGTAAATCCAAGCGAGAGAAACAGCGCGCGTTTATAATCCACCGTTACTCGCAAAAAATCGAATAATCCAATTTTTTTTTATTTTTTTTTATTTTTTTTTAAATAATAATAATAAATTAAAAATAAATCTTAAAATTGTCTCGTGAAGTTCGTAACGTCAGATTATTTGTGCCTCCGCAATGTCAAATGATTTCCCAACTTGATTTTTTGCGAGCATCGAAGAGAGTTTTTATACAATCTTAAGAAATAAATATTCTTAACATTCTTGAGTTATGTGTTAATTTAAAAAAAAGTACAGAGACAGAGAACAAGGCAAAAGTTAAGCGGATACCGCAGTAAGTTTCCGCATATCTTTCCGACATCTTCCTTCTCGGTCTCGATAATAATAAAAAAAAAAAAAAAAAAAAAAAAAAACGTGAGTCTGAAAGTGTAAAAGATCGATTGTGATCTTCGCCGCGAAGAAGGTCGAGTTTGCCTATCGTATGTTAGCGCGTCTAATTAATTTGATTGAAGCTCCATTGTCGCATTCAAAAATTGTTTCAAATTGCGAGTCATATATCAAAGAGTTTTTATCTATTTTTGGGTTATTTAGAAATATCGCTCGCTTGTAGTCGCCCACCTCAAAATGGTGATTGCCCAAAACAATGTATTTTCAGAAACATAAATTTTCCCATCCAGGGCCTGTTGCACAATTCTATTAATAATATTATTAGTAAAAAGTACAAGTTATTTTAATATAAGCATAAATCATAAATTATCATAAATTTGTTGGTGTATCTTATTTCTATGGATACATCTACATATGAATTGGCATAAAAAACAATCGTAGTATAAAAAAACCTGTGCAATTAGAGAAGAACGCAATTGTGTAGAAGTTGCAAGTTCTCGTACTAATATTATTAACTTGTAAATTATTGTGCAACGGGTCCCTAATGTGTCGAAGATACGAGAGTGATAAATCGATATACATAGGAGTGGCTCACTATACCCGATAGGTTAATATGTGTATTACGCAACATCCGCACGAAGAAAAATACACGAATGGCTATTCTATCGAACCACCAAATTTTGAAGGTTTAACTTACTTTTTTATTTAAAAAAAAAAATAAAGTAAGAAGAATAGAATCAGAAATTATCTTATATACATAATATACATATGTTATACAATATATACTATTTATTCTGAATGTATTTTCTATAGCAATTATATTTATTTGTTAAAATATTACACGCTGTTCTGACGATCTTTCGGAGAAAAAAACTTGGAAAAATCGAATAATTATGCAACATGAGCGATAAAAAGCGGATATTCGCGAGTTTATTTTCTCTGCTCGTTAAGTATTTTTCTTCGTGATCGCACGATCTATCTCGTATGTTCGCTTCTTAGTAGATAAAACGGAGGTAAGATTGCTTCGTTATTGCTCGCTTCCCACTTCAACCTGTCCAGCGTTGATCTTTCTGTTCGGTACACATTTGTCTTATCTAAGACATTCTTCAAGTTTTGAGATGCGCTTCGGAGAAAAGATACCTCGGCTCGGCGGAAAAATATGCTAAAAATACCTGTAGATAGCTCTTATGAAGAACCAAACAGAAAGATTAAGCTGGACTAACTTCAGCTATGAAGAGGCGGGAAGTTTACTTTATTGCCGATATCGAACTGTCGCGATAACGATAACTTGCACACAGCGAGAATCTTCGAGATATTAAGCCTACAAATCTTCGCATTAAAATTATCATATATAAATGTCTCGCGTATACACGTTACAAAGGTATGAAAATACAATAGTAGCAAATAATGTGTGTGAGTGTATATACTATATGTTCAATGTAATAAAAAATGTATTTGTTTTTTCTCTCTCAAGCAATGTAAATGATTAATGTTGCGACAAACCGACGTCGCTAAGTCGCGTCGCGAGGGTCACACCTCGGTGGTGTGTGTACAATGTATGTACGTGTAATTCGGACTGTGTGTATGTATGTGTAACATGGTAAGCGATCATCGCGCGCAAGTTATAAGGGCATATTGGACAAGACTAGATGCACATATGACGAAATGGAGTTCCGTCCGACGTTCGCACGTGGAACGTCGCACGTGAAACCAAGGAGAACGTGACTGGCTGATCGTCTCCGGCTTAAGAACTAAGGAAAATATATTCGGGAATTTTTCCGAAGAGTCACGAGGACGATACGCGGTGTACTTAATCGCGCGATGTACACGGACGAACCCCTTGAGAATTTTCATTTTTCGAGAAAAACAACTGATACAGATTTCTCAAGCACGTGCGTGCTCTTCGAAGATAGAAATGGAAGATAAACTTGTGTACTTGCTTCAAAAAGTCAAACAATTACCGTCAAAACTTACGCGTAGTGTATTACGATTAAAAAAAAAAAAAAAAAAAATACGTAGATACAATAACATTTTTAAGAAAATTTTTACACGCTTTATTTTCGCAATTTGAACTTTTTGAGCCAGGATTCAAATCATCGTTCTTTCAAGAACGAATTGTCAGAATTCTTCCACGTGCGCTGTGTGATAGTGACAAGCGTGATTGATTGGTCGTGTAATTACGCGCGAATATCACGGTCGTATGTGGTGTATTGTCCATTAATAATCACGCATAATTCGATTTATCTGCACAAGTTACAAGGATCGTCCTTTTCCGCAAGCGTACACCGCGTCTATCCTCTTTGCCCGGGACGACGATTTCTTCGACAAGTTCAGCACAAACGGCTGCTCTCCCGAACATTTATTCTATTTGTACAGCCTTTGTAGCGCTAGTTCTTTTCAAAAAACGAGGCCACTTCGATACATCCAATCAACGCGCGCGTTGCTGGCAAAACGACGACGAGGCACACATCGGAAAAATATCGAAGGATCGCATGACGTTAATCGCATGCACGGGCGAGGCTTATGTGGTCGTAATAACGCACGTTTTCTGGCGATATATTTTCCAAAAAAAAAAACATTTATTAACAGTAATATATATATATATATGTATATATATACTATGTTTTGTATCAAATCAATCAATCAAAATACGCGTTAAAAGAACATCAAGGCAATTTTCACACAATGTGTGCAAGAGTCAAAAACTTGTATATATTTTTATAAATTTAACAGTTCCAAAGTTTTACGTTGCTGATAAACAAAATTATCGTTTAATAAACAAATTATATTCGTATTAAAAAAACTTTTAGTTAGAAACATAAAAATTAATATTTCCTTAAATTATCATATTTTCTCAACACAAAGAAAGAATAATATTTTATTTTTAAAAAACGCGATATAACATGTACAACACTTAAAAAAAAAAAACTAAAACTCACGTTTAAGTGAACGCAATTGCCGTCTTCGATCCTTTCGCGAAAGGGATTTGGTTACACCAGAATTATGTGTCATTACAACAAACTGGCCTCTAATGCAGGTTTTTTTTTTCGCGCGGTTATAATACAGCACCGTATACTCCTTAGAAGTAATTTGTCAATTTTTATGCACCAAAGTCTAGAAGTTTCCAAAAACTAGCGGAATGCTCGAGTTTCTCGATGCTCACGAAAGTGCATTCGGTACAAGGCAAACATGATCTCAGGGTTTGATTGTGCTTATCACAAAGTGTGTGTTTAGTTCGTCGCGCGATTCTCTCAGAGCGTATATGTATATAATTCATATTTTTAAAAAAGTAATTCATCTCTTTTTTTTATTTTGATTAATTCGCAAAATACACATCAGTGTACCATCGTTCGAGTCAAAAAGAGAGCGACAACAAAACGCGATCGACGTCGCCGATATTCGCGACAATTGGTACAAATTACAATACTTCTCGCAACTTCCGCACGAGACGTTTACTATTGTAATTCAAATCTCGGGGAGCACAGAAACTACCTCGCACACACCGGAATTTTTTTTTTTGTTTTTTTTTGTTTTTTTTTTTTCGAGAAAAAACACGCTTTCGTCACTCGCAGTGCGAACATCTCGTATCACAATGTACAATCAAAATTAGAGAAGAAAATCAGCGTTGCCGTTCCAAAGCCAAGGTAAGTAAGAAAAGATTTGTTTTTTTTATAATGCAACTTTCCAAAATTCGTCAATACAAGAAATTACAATTAGTCGAAAAATTCTTCCGAAATACAAGAAACGAGTGTCGTGAAGAAAAAGATCGCTCAACGAAGATCACTTCCCGAATATAACGGCAGAAAATAGAACAGGAGATGCAAGAAAAGCTTCAGTCACCGGCAAGATTCGAATCTCCCGCCGGCTTCGCGTTCTCCAAAATGGCTGTCGCGATATTCTCCCCTCTCGTGCTACCTCGTGCTATCTCCCTCTTTCTCTTTCTCTATCTCTCTCTCTCTCTCTCTTTATCTCTATCTTTTTTTCTCTTTCACGCGACACATACGCATACACATCACATTTTTCTTTTTCTCACATTCATTCTTTCACACATTCGTTCGCGGCACACGCGCGTGCATTCGCTCGTCGTCAAAAGCGTGTGCTCATGCGTGTAAAGTCTCTCGCATATATACGCCAGAGAGTTGCTCACGCTCGCAACTCTCCCGACCATTCTTTACATTTTATGCGAAGGCACTCCTTCCTCCTTCTCACAACCTCGACTACCACCTTCTCTTCTCTTCCTGCTCCGCCTGCTTTACTCCTACCGTCGTGGTGCGCGGTCGCCTCCTCCCAGTTGTAACACAAAAGAACCGAGAGAGAGACAATCATGTCAACATGATGTGGATGATCGGCTGTGTGGATTTCTTTTTTCCCACTCTTCTTTCTTCTCGTAAACTTCTTTTCCAGAATGGCGACGGAGACACTTTCTTGAAAATACTACCTCTCGTGTTTCCAACTTCAATTTTTTGTTTCTCTTTAGAAGTGTCCGGCTTCTTATTTCGTATCAGTCTAAAGATTTACTCCAACCCGAGGTACATCAAGAACATTTTCAAATGCGAAAGAATAAAAGTCCACGTAGCAAAGCTTCTTCCTCTCGGAATGATCCAAATCAATGAGAACGACTATCGACTATCGGACTAAGTCCGAGGTGTTCGTTCTTTCGCGGGAGCTACGCGAGAGAAGGCAAGAAGATGACGAAACTCTTCGCTCGAGGGTTTAATCTTTGCGGGCGAGAAAGAAAAAGGGGAAGCGGTTACAGAGGGACCGTTTAGAACTGACCGGTGACGGGCATGATGTGACAACCGGACTGCACGTGATCCATAACCTGTTCCTTGAGCCGACACACGTGCTCCTTGAGTTTATGCACTACGCTGCTGAGCTCGTTGTTCTCGCCCTTGAGCAGCTTGACCTTGTCCTCCAGCCTGGAGATACGCTCGAGCTTGCGCCGTCGGCACTTGGACGCGGCCACGCGGTTTCTCTGCCGTTTCCTCTCGAGTTTGATCTTCTCCTGGTTCTCCATGTCGATTGGCGACATAGGCGGTGTGCTCGACACCGTGTGCGGCTCGTCTTTAACCTGAATTAGCGCGGGGTTACTCAGAGTGGATTCTGTACTTTGCACACTACCGGGCGGTTCTAGTGTGGTATAGGTCGCGCCGTGAATGCTGCCCGGTTCCTGCGAGCTGTCGGAGTGATGGAGTTCGTTGAGCGCTTCGACGAATCCGCGGGTGAAGAGCTCTTGCGCCTCGGTAGGGACCGTTTTGGGGAACAGAATCTGGGTTGGTGTCGTAAGATTGCTGACCAGACCGTCATGCTGCGACGCCAAGAACAACTTTTCCAGTTCCGGTGTGTTGAGCTTAAGCATACCAAGATCGGGCGACGGCAGAATTGGCGTGACATTGTTGAGCGTGGTCTGCGGCAACGGGCCCAACCGCGGCCTCTTCGCCTGCGGGCCCTGTCGCTGGCAACCGTTCAGGTCGAGCGTGAGATTCCGCTTGAGTTGGCCCATGCTGTTCTCGCGACTGTTTATCGTGCCGTAGACGCTCGGGTCTTCGTAGAACGTCTGTTCCATCGTCAGACCGCGCACCATCGATGCCGCCAAACTGATTAACCCTCTCGATAGAATGCCGAGAGTTCTATCTCGTTGAGTACAAAAACTCTACGTTCTATCTCGCCTCCGGATAGGAAAGCAGTAGTCTCCCCTCCTGAAGCGAAATACTTTTCTTCGGAGTTTCCGCGCTTATAAACAAGTCTTTTTTTACACAATTATAAATCTAGCCACACGTTGACTTATTGCGACGCGCGTTCTCGTTTTCTTCTCCTTCTCTCTCTCTCTCTTCCTCTCTTTCTCTATCTTTCTTTCCGTCCACGTCAACGTATATACAAATTTGCTTTGCTTCGCGCTGCGATTATATAACCGCGCGCACTCTGCACACAAAAAAATTCACCCGCACCGACTGTCTTTCTTGATTTTGTCTTTTTTTTTATTGCACAGACACGTTTTCGCGACACTCCGTGTAATCGCGCACAAGCCGCGCCAACGACACTTTATGATATAATATAATACCCGCTGCGAGACCCCTGCGATCGGCGCAGAAGTCCCCGTCGTTGCGCGACGTTGAATATTAAAACTCGGCGGTAACCCGCCAGCGCCGGTAGCTCTTGACTGACTGTTCGCTTGCCTGCTTCGTCAATTGTCAACACAACAATGACTCACGACGGACAGTCGGCGGTATGTACCATGTGCCCCGTCCGTCTCGTGATTGCGGAACGAAGTGAGATACGTCGCGCGAATGAACGCGAAGTCTCTGCGCACCACGATAGCCCGACAACTTGTGAACACCCAGCTAAACCCTACTCGCTTATATCCCGTGAGTCACGTCGGCTGAAAATAGCAATGTCGTCATTCACGGGAGCGAGGATTGGCCAACGATGGCGTGCCACGGTTAGCGCGATTGGCCGACCGATCGGCGCTACTAGGAAATCGGCGGCGCACGCGCATCGCCGGACGTCCGCGACGTAGGAGGAGGCGGTTGCACGCTGGTAGCAAGTGATAAAGGTGCGTTCCCATCGGGAAATCGTCCGAGCAGCGTTGTCATTTGAACTGTCACGAAACGTCAAGAATGTCATAAAATCCTTTTCGCGCGATCTGCAACACGGACGCGCTATCGGATAACATCGATTTTTCGCGCTGATACATTCTTTTCGATACAACGATTATGAATTTTTGCGAACGGTGAAAACGACGTTTCAAGCTCGTTATCCCGCTTCCACGCGGCTGCAGATCTATCGCCGTTTCTCTTTGGCATGTACCTCACTTGGAGAGGGCAACTTGTCTAACAGCTCTATGTAAGTTCTTGTACGTGTTTGGTGCCAAAGTTTTCGGTTTCGTGAAAAACAAGCAAATATTTAAAAATACAGAATACATATATATGTTGTGTATATTAAATTTTACATGCAAGTATAGAAGTAAGGCCTGGTTTATGCGGGCCTAAGATTTTAATATTTCTGTTTATTAACATAAGCATAACAGAATATAACAGAAGCATTGAAATCCTATAGTTGAACTGTACCAATTCCGGCATAAATTAACAGTTATTACCCGCACAAACAAGACCAAAACAAGGCCTTATTTGCCGGCATAAACCAGGCCTAAGAGAAATAGGTTTGCTTAAAAATATAATAATTGCAATTGAGATGACAGGTTGTTTTATATTAATATAATCAAATTGTGTGCATAAATTTAAAATTTCAGTTGTATTACAAATATTCGACCGAAAGATAGAATTAATGATGGAGTGTCAAACTTATTTCCTGAAAAAGAATACGTTTTTCGAGAGAAGGAACATTTTTTTTTTCTCTATTAGCGACTTCGAGCGTGAATTAGTATTTGATTACTCCGCTTGTCACGTTAATGACAATACCGAATTGCATAAAAAGCATATCGGTAAGCACTGATCTCAATTGTATTCGACGCTATCATATGCCGCTCGCCACATTACTTGCGCTCGTAATTGTTGTCTGCATCTTATGCAATTGTCTGCGATGCACTGAACGACTTTCATTGCGATCGAAGCCTCCTGTCATTATCATTCTCGGTTAATAGTCTTCACTGAACAAGCCTCGTGTATTGACTGCGTGATAAATCAACAATTTACTCTAGCTATTTGTCGTAAGAATGCTAATGAAGAGAAATGGAAATGAGGAATTTGCGCAACAATTGTTTACAATTGTGTACAAACTCTTTTACAAAACAAGAATGCGCAAATGTTAAATTTCACAATCTCGTAGTGTTTTGTGTTACACTATTTTACTTACACGATGTTGCAATTACTCAACATGTTTTTTACGACTAATATATATTATTTTATCATTTGATAAAATAATATATTCGTGGTAATTTATCAATACACGAAAATGCGCGTGAAACAAATATTCTCTCTTATCGGAGAACAAATCGCTTAGTTTTCAAAATGGGCAACAACTCGAATAACACTCTGACTCTGTATATACTGCGTCGTTAATGATGATACTTCGAGTTTCGCATTATATTTTCCGGCACACGCAGGGAAATGCGAGCACGGAGAATTGATATCCGGTAATCGGCGGAGAGCAACAAACATACACACTATGTTGCAACGTGACTGATGACACGCCGTCGATATCAGGCGAAACATGCGAGTGCAGGCATAACGATCTATGGTTCATGTTGCATTGGTATGATGTAACGATTGATCATGTCGCGAATATCCTTCCGCGATGGATCGCGTTACGTTTTTAACGAGCAGCTTCGAAGTCGAACGTGTGTGTGTGTGTGTGTGTGTGTGTGTGTGTGTGTGTGTGTGTGTGTGTGTGTGTGTGTGTATGTGTAGATGCAATCGCGTTTTCATTTTTCGACACAAACTTGTTTTATTCGAACAACCTGAATAGCTCAAGTGTGAAATACACACGTACATATGTATCTGTATACAAAACAATGTAGAATATAAGAGGATAAAGATGTACATAATTAAACATTTCTGTTGGGGATAAAAGTTTTGGTTCAACCGGAGTAATTATAGTAATTAAAATATAAAATATGTATAATTAACTTTGCTTGTGATGGATTCTCGCTCTCTCTCTCTCTCTTTCTTGTTACACTTTTTCTCTCGAATTAAAGTAGAGACGCCGCATAGGCAAGGCAGCGTCATACACAAACAACCGCTCTTTTCATCTCGAAATTAAACAAACATAATTAATTTCCGCCCCCGCGCGCGCTTGGTTCGCGCTCTCGCGTAGGAACGCGCGCGGAAGGTTAAATCCATTACATACACAATACTACTCGAGAGTACGCGGAGGCCAAGCCTTTTTATTTGCGCACGAAAACTGCCGGCCGTTTCCGACGGCGATCAATCATTTCGCGAGTCGAGTAGAACAGTTTCACCTCGCACTTAGTAATTTCGCGCGTTGCCGCTCTTTCAAATCTCGCGCGCTTCGTAATATACGTTTTTTTTATATATATGAGCGAGTTTTTTAACTCATCGATTGATCGAATACGATATTGTGTGTACATACATACAGTCAGCTGCGTAAATGCCTAAACACATAAAGTTGCATTAATATCTTTAACAATGAAAGACATTATTTCATATTCTAAAAAACATTTATGCTGCCGACTACATTATAATAATTTTTCACTGTTTTGTATTCTTTTGTTACTGAACAACGAAGATTTTTTGAAAATAGCAACCTTTTTCTATGAATCCAGAAAGACGCATATAGATATAGATAGATAAGATGTAATGTACTGTAACCGTAATGTGGAATGTTTGTAATAAACAAGAGATTATTGCTCAAATAGTCGTATTTTTAATGATAATAGTATTTTTTAATGACATGATAACGGAATCCTGAAATCAGATTTGAATTAAGCGCATCGTCAATCTGAAAAAAATGATCTTTTTAAGATGAAGAAGCAAGACAAAAATGTTAAATTTGTTGTATGTACAGTGGTTTATTTATTAGTTACATATATGGTACATGTATAATGTAGTTTATTTATTATATAGACATGTATATGTATATCACAAAACACACATATCACACATATCGTTCTTGACAGTCATCTAAGTCTTAGCGCAGATTCTTGCGATACATATATTATTTCGATTTGTATTATCACGTGCCATATATATGACATAATATGTTGTTGATAAAAAAAAAAAAATATCTGTATGTAAATATATTCGCAGGCGCAATAATCGGTTGTCGGTAACATCAAAGAATAACAGAAGTACCGTCAACAATCCTTTTTGAATATAAAAATATGTAAATTTTTATAAAATATAAAATATATATAGATTTTTAAATACATTTTTATTGAAATAAAAACACGGAATATT